GAAGGCCTGCCATGCTGAGGAGCAGGAGGCTAGCCTCTGTACCTGGGGAGGACAGCGTGTTGCTGCCTGGCCCAGGACCAGGGAAGGTGGAGTCTGGCCAGGCCGTAGAAGCGGAGACCCAGTACAGAAGGTTGGGCCAAGGGGGTTACCTGGTTGGGAGGCCAAAGGGTCTTGGCTGGGGGCTGCAGGGAGGACTTGGTCCGTCCTAGAGGAGGGCGGGAGATCTGTTGGACTTGGTCTGTAAGCCGTGGGAAAGCACAGAGGGTGTCATTTGAGCTGCGGACCTGGTGGGCAGGGTGACGGAGGAGTCATTCTGGGGCCTGCTGCGGTGATGTGACCCTGAGGTCAAGGGTCAGGGGACTTGGCAGTTCCGACTTGGGAGAGAGGTCATCCAGAAGCCGTTCTTCCGTCATAGAGATGGAGAAGTTGGCTGAACCAGGAGAGGTGCAGGGGCACTCCCGAACTAGGGGAATCGGGGGCCCCAGTACAGGGTGACCATTCAGCGGGGAGAGCTGGGCCGGGCCCTCACCGAGCCTCCAGCTAGGGTGGAGGAGAGCCAGGCCCTGACTAGAGCGGTGGCCCAGCCAGGTGGGAGCCTCAGGGGGGTGTCTTCCTGAGGGCGAGAGCCCCATCAGGCCCCGCCAGAGGTCACGTGTTGGGGATCCCTAGACATGAGATGGATCTGGACTGGGGGAGTTGTCTCAGGCCTATGGAAGCTCAACCCAGCCCAGCACTCAGAGGGGCCTCGCCTGGCTCCCGTGTCACGTAGTGTCCCCGCCCGCCTGCCCCCAGTGCTGGGGTCCTGCTTATTTCCCTCCGTGCACTAATGGCCGTCTGATGTTTCCTTACGTGCTTGTTTCCATGCTCGTGGTCCCTCTCCCCAACTGACATGGGAGAGCAGACGCCGTCCGTCCTCGTTTCCACTTCCTCGGCCCTTCAGAGGACACGCAGTGATCGTGGTTGAATGAGCCCCGGTGAGCATGTGTGCGGCTCTCCTGGAAGGGGTGACCCAGGCCAGACCCGGGCCCCATGGAGCCAGCGTGCACGTGCAGGCCAGCCGTGGCGGCAGCGCGCTGTGGCCTCCAGCGAGGCCCCTGTTCTTGCTGAGTTTGTTTCCTCATCTGTGAAGTGGTGATCCCTGCCCCGCTGACCACCCAGGACGTCCGAGCAGATAGGATGAACCCGGTGGGGCGGGGCCTGCTCCACAAGCCAGTGTGCGTGGTCGGGAAGGGAAGCTTGGGGAGGAGGCAGGGTGGAACCCGAGGGGGAGAGACCGCCTCAGAGCTGCCACTCTGGCCACCTGTGGGCTCCACTCTCCCTGAGGGTAGACGGGGGCCCCAGTGGAGGAGGGGCTGGCTGGATGCACCCCACCCCACGGTGGCGGGCCCCGTGGTCCCAGCTCTCCTGAGGGACTTGTGCTGGGGACCCTTGTAGACCAAACTGCAGGCGTGACCCAAGGCTCGGCTGGTCTTCCCGTCCCATGAACGCTGTGTGGGCTTCGCGAGACAGGTGTCGGAGAGCATGTGACACCGGCCGCAGTCTGGGAGGCTTGTCCCCCCTCCCTCCTGTCCTGCCGGTAACCCATTCCCCTCCCCCTGACCTCTGGCCCAGGAGAGTCAGTCCC